GCGAGGACAAATGTGCCCAAACAGTAAAATGGGAGCTACTCCAAACTGATCAATTCAAATGAAAAAAAAAATAGAGAAAAAAAAACCCTTAAATTAAATAAATCCAAGGAAGGCCCTTTTAAAGCACAGAAGGTGGAACCCTGGTCTAGGAGAAGTCAGTGGCAACATTTACATTGACTTTAAAGGAGAGGCTTCACTTACTCTGAGGTGTAAAACCACACAGTGCTGCTGTGCATAGCGTGGTACAAAATACATGTGCTGAGTTTCACACACAGCATTCAGGGAACAAGCTGATAAATGCAAGATGAGGAACAGGCAGACTAATAGACAGACTTGGTTATATTTTAATCTGGTTTACTGTTACCTGCAGGTGTAACAGTTAAAATGTTCTAAAAAGTTACTATATACCCTTAATTCTAAACAGTTACTGGAAGGACAGCTAGAAAATCTAATAGTAAAGCAAACATGCTCCTTTAAAAGTTTCCTTATTACAAAAAAAATTATTAAAAGGAGGGGGGAAAGTATGTCTGAAACACAAAGATGACATCAGAAAAGTTCCTCAATTCACAGATGGCTGCACCTTTCAAAAAAAATTAAAACAGGAACCCTAGATTGATTTAATCACCCATACAAGCGAAAAAACGTAATGAAGATATTTAGTGCCAAATTGGTTTCTTGGGACCTTTTCCATGTAAATAATACAAATCAAACCTTGAAGTTCAGTGCAGATATGATCTGACAAGTAAGCCAGGCTTTTTGTTTTCCTTTGATCCAGCTCCAGAAATATTTTATCCAAGGTAAAGTTGGTTTTAAGTGTTTTCCATTTCAGTTTTTAATTTTGGATATTCATCATATAGGAAACTTGCTTAAAATGCTTCAAACACCAGTCAGGCTGCACTGACTCACAGCACCAAACTTAAAGATTTTCTTGTATTTGCTTCTAAGAGGGGGAATACCAAGAGTGTGCCACGGGATCAATTTCCATTGCTCGGTTATTTTTAAGGGTACAGGAAACATGGACAACCCCAGCTGAATATTTCCAAATATCAAGACAAGCCAACTCCAGTATTTTTTGTACTGTTCCACTTCCCCTGGTTGTGTTGGGGAATAATACTGATGAAGATAATAAGATGGACAGGCTTTTGCTTCCTAAATGAGTCCTCAAATTCCCCATATACTGTCATTCCCTTAAGGTGCCATCTGGGAGCAACAGTGCCTTCTCTTGGAAGAAAATTTTCATGTGTTAATTTTTTTGGTTGGTTGGTTGGGTTTGTTTTTTGTTTGTTTGTTTGTTTTACTTCTCTGATTCTGTTAAAAATAATTATTTTTTTTTAATTTCTATTCCATTTTCAAACCAGGGCATAGATTCTGCAGTCCAGAAATACATATACATATATATATAACCCTGAACTTGTTCACAGTTTTCAGTGTTGTGTGCCTAAATACAGATTTAGGCACCTTGCTGTAGGCATGCAGATTTCAAAAATTCAGCTCTTGTCAATAATGTAAAATCCTGTGGATTCTCTTCCTTCCACAAATTGGTAGGTAGTATATTTAGAATTAACAGGGCCTGCTTTCTCTTTTGACTCGAGTATGTGGTGTAAGGTTAATGAAAATAAGATGGATGTTTTATTTTGGGTCTTACATATAATATTATTAAATGTGCCCACCAGAAATGTAGGATAAAATATTTGCTCTGCTTGAAGATTATGTGATATTTGTATTCTAAGCCTCACCACAGTGGGTTTCTTTAAATAGAAGCTATACTTTACTCCTAAATTGCTTAAGGCAAAGGAAGCAGAGATGATGTTTTTATGAATGTTTAAATGCAAATGGAACTGAGAGTGAATGCTATGCTAGCTAACATCAAAGGCTCACCAAAGTCTCTGCATTAATGAGGCTCTTTGTTTCCTGGATCACAGATTACAACAGGTTTCCAACTCATTGCCAAGGCTTTATCTCCATTTGGGAGGGCTGTAAATCTCAGACGATTTTTTTCACATGCAAAACAAGAGGATCATCTGAAAGAAGAAGGAAAAAAAATCTTAAAGTAGCAAATATTTCATTCAAATGATTATTCCTCAAAGTGGCTGCATCTTGTTTTATTTTTGGGATGTTTAAAAGAATGGAAATTTGCCAACGGAGTTTCCTATGGGGCAGCTTATTCATTTGGAGGAGAAAACTAAGCAGGAAAAAAGCAAACAGCATCCTTCCCATCTTCTTCAGGCTGGCATCAACTGTGCCCCAAAATCAGAACACTAATTCTGTGTCATGCAAAATCAGCAATTAGCAGAAAGACAGATTTTGCTCCATTTAAATATATTCAAGTACTTTTCAAAGTGGCTCCAACTAGTTCTTCTCCTCCCCAAAAAGTAATGAGATTATATCCCTAGTAATAATACCCTAATTAACAAGAGAAATAGGGACCAAGATTTTTAGCTTCCTATTCAAGGGCTGAATGTGACAATATGTTGTATATTGGGTCATAAAAAACAATTTACATGGCGTCATTACAGTCTGTAGCAAAGTCTCCAGGACCCAGGGCTATCTTGTGCAATCTTAATTAAGGAAAATAAATATCGGCGTGTTGTTTTAAGCTACTGGAGACATGCACAGGACCTGTCGTGTGTGATCAGAAGAGATGGGGAGTTTCCTTTTCCATGGGAACTGCTTAAAAAACCCTCCGACGCCGACACACAAGTGTCTAGTGCCTTCAAAATGGGCTGCGAAGATGGTAATTTCTTGTTTCCTGACCCTCGGGGCCAGGCAGGAAAACTAATAATTTTCTGCCACCCCACGTCACATCTGTGGTGCGGAGGGGCCACGGGCGCGGTGGCGGGAGCAGTGCCCGTGCCCGCTGCCCACGGCGGGTGGCAGGGGCACCCACGTGTGGCATGAGTGTGTCAGCACCCACAGCTGGCCATGGCAGCTGCTGTGGGCTTGTGTGTGTGGGTGTGGGTGTACACACGTGTGCTGTGTGTGCCTGAGCTCAGGTATCCATGCCCTGATGTGTCAGTGTGTGTGCGTGTCCGTGTGGGTGTACACACGTGTGCTGTGTGTGCCTGAGCTCAGGTATCCATGCCTGATGGTGTGTGTGGGTGTGGGTGTGTGTGGGTGTACACATGTGTGCTGTGTGTGCCTGAGCTCAGGTATCCGTGCCTGATGTGTCAGTGTGTGTGCGTGTCCGTGTGGGTGTACACACGTGTGCTGTGTGTGCCTGAGCTCAGGTATCCGTGCCCTGATGTGTCAGTGTGTGTGTGTGTTCATTCACATCTCTCTGTGCACACACACAAGTCCCAGTGTTGCAGTGTGTGGTTGTACACACATCCCAATGAGTTTCAGTGCACACGTACACCTGCTGAGGTGTGTCTGTGTGCACACATACACATCCTGATGTCTTACTGTACACATGTGTGTGTCTGTTCAGGCATGTCTCTGTGCACACATACACATCCTCATGTCCTGCTGTGTACACGTGTGTCTGTTTGTCCATGTCTCTCTGTGCACACATACATGTCCTGATGTCTCAGTGCGTGCACACATGTGCTGATGTGTTCTCACGTGAGCTGATGTCTGTGTGTACACACGTGCACTGATGTGTGTCAGCAGTGCCATGTTTGGCCTTCTGTCCTCTACGTTTAGTCATGTGCTGCTGATCTGTGTTTGTGGATTCATAGGTGCATGTGAGCACATAGATGTGTTTGTGTGTGCAGCTGTGTGTGTACAGATGCCTGTGTGTACCAGATGTGTAGCTGTGTGTGCTGATGTGTGCGCTTACATGTTCTTTTGTGCTGATCTCTCAGGGGTGTGTGTGGATCCCACTGCCGTGTGCTGCTGTGCGAGTGCTCGTGTGTGCCAGATGTGCAGCTGTGCGTGCTCTGTGTGTACAAAGGTGTGTGTAGCTGTACACACACCCCTGTAGAGACCTGTGTGGGGCCGTGCAGACCCTGACACATGCTGATGTGTGTGCATACACGTAAATGCGGATGTGTGCCTGCAGCCGTGTGTGTGAGGAAGCACCGACCGGCGCAGGTGCGTGCTCTGCCGTGGGCATGCAGGAGTGGCTGCAGGCGAGCTTGTGCCGCGGTGCGTGTGCAGGTGCGTGTGTGCAGGAATGTGGCCGGGCACAGATGTGCACAGGCCGTGTGCGTGTGTGCTCAGATGTGCGTGCAGCACGTCTGTGTGTGCAGGCATGTGTGCACACAGGTAGGCACAGGTGTGTGTGCGGATGTGCGAGCAGGGATGCGTGCGTGTCACAGACGTGCACACACACCCGGGGCTGCACCAAGCCCCCGGTGCTGCCCACCCTCGGGCCACCCGCACCCCCGCAGCCGGGCCGGGAGGGTGTCTACCCCGCCGTAGCGCGGTCTGGGGCTGGCTGTGCCTTTAATGCAGGACTTGGCTGGAAGCGCCTGTGCCAGTGAGCGTGTCCGTGTGTGTCTCCGTGTTCCCGTACGCGTGTGCGCGCCTCCGTCTGTGTCTGTGTGTCCGTGTGTCCCCGTGTGTGCCCGCCCCCGGCCCCGCCCCGGCGCTGCCAATCACCCGGCGGCCGCTTTGATGTCGCAGCGCTCGCCCGCCGCGCCGCCGCGCTCGCAGTCGGACCGGGCGCTCCGTGCTCCGCCAGCCGCCGGCGCCCGCTGCTCCAGCCAAACTTCCCGGGGCTCGGAGGGCGGGGGGGCGGCGGCGGCACGGGGGGGCCCGTGGAGCCCGGCATCCCGCGACGCCTGCCCGCCCGCAGCCTGCCGAGCCCCCCGCGAGCCGCCGGAGCGGGGAGGGAAGAAGGGGGGGCAAAGAAAAGAGTGACGAGGAGAAAGCAAGTCTAATTTTTTTTTTTTTAAAGGAGAGATTTAAAGGGAGTTTGGAAAGGGGGAGCAAAATTAAAGGGGAAAAAAAGTTCAAAAGTTAAAAGGAAAGGAGGAAAAAACTTTAAAAATTCAAGAGGGAGCTATTTTTTTATTTTTAATTTTTTTTTTTTTTTAAGAGAAGGAAAAAAATAATTGAGGTAGAGAAAAAAAAATAATTGCGAAGGGCTTGATCCGGGAGAACAATACTCGCCGGGAAAGTTGCTGCGCGGCGGGGAGGGAGCGGCGGGAGGAAAATGCCGCAGCTGGGCAGCGGCGGCGGGGACGACCTGGGCGCCACGGACGAGATGCTGGCCTTCAAGGACGAGGGCGAGCAGGAGGAGAAGATCCCCGAGAACGCCTTCACCGAGCGCGACCTGGCCGACCTCAAGTCCTCGCTGGTGAACGAGTCCGAAGGCAGCGGCAGCCCGGCCGCCGCCGCCGCCGATCCCGAGGTGAGCCGGGCCGGAGCGGCCCCGCACGGCGGCCCCGCGCCCCCCGCCCCGGATGCCGGGCTCCACGGGCCCCCCGCCCCGCCGCGGCCCCCGCCCCACGCCCCCGCGCTGCCCCTCTCTCTCCTCCCCGTGCAGGCCCTCCGGCGAGTGCAGGATCCGCAGAGGGTGTACCAGGAGAAGCTCCCGGACCACATGGATGATGGTTAGTCACGGCAACCTCCGCGTGTTTCTGTGTGTCCCTCTCTCCCCGTTCCCGGTTCCTGCTGGTCTTCCCCAGTGCGCCCCGTCTAGTGCTTGACCCCCCGGTTCCCCAGCCCGTCACCCTGACACCCCTGGGAGTGAGGGATGCTAGCCTGGTCACCACAGCCCCAGCGGGAAAGCTACTCCTGACAGCACCGAGGCTTCCCAGCGTCCCCGCTGTGGGAGTCCACACCCGTGGGGGACCCTGGCTCTCCCCAACACCTTCTCTGAGGAGTATGGGACACAAAGAGTCCCACAGCATGCTGTAACTTCTTTGGGGACCCCTGAAGGGCAGAGGAGTCACCTGTCATAAGACAAATTTTGACAGGGAACATTGATTTCAGCAGGTATGAAACATCAGGACCCAGGGATGTATAAAGGATCTGCCTATTCTGGTTACCCTTTCCTGATGCTCTCAGATCCGTATCTGCCCAATGGATCTATGTCACCGCTGGTGAGTTTCTCCTCTCCGTATGGAGAAGTCTTTTGGCCTGTTTCAGTGCTGAAGTATGTTGCAGGTATTGTGCAGGCACCTACACCTGCTTTTTCCTGACAAATTGGAGCCCAGTTTCTGAAATAGCTGGACACTGTTCTGTCCAAGCCAAAAGGAAAAGCAGTGGGAAGGGGGAGAGATGCTCAGCAGGAAGCGCCTGCTTCGCTCTGAGTTTGCTGGAGGAGCTGCTTTTCCAGTCTCCTCATCCTCTAGGTTTGGCTTTATTCTTCCAGCAGTCAAATCCTAATATCTCGTTGAAGAGTGTCCCTTCCTTTTTCTGGGTCAGGGGCTTTGGAGGGAGCAGCTCCTGGTCTTTGTATTTGTTTTCAGGGATTTGTCCCGCAGCTGAGCTTGTGTGTTAGGGCTCTGTTGTGGATGATGGCCCAGAAAATGGATCTTGTGCTTCTAAAATGGCAATGGAGGTTTTAGGAAAAGGTTTCATGCTGCCGGAGGACTATTCTCATCTTTCTCCTGGAAAGTTTTTCCCTCTCAGTTTAAATCAGCTTTAGTAATTCTGTATGTTCTCATGTTTCTAAGTTTTGCCATCTGAGTGATTAAACTAAAGTCTTCTTTACAAAAGCTGTCTTTTCCCGTCACCATCTTGGTCAGAACTTCAGAAAATAATATCCTGACATTGCAGCAGACAGTCGATGCTGGTGTCCCTCCTGGGAGCCGGCACTGCTGCGTTTGTTTCAGACATTGTTCTGCAGTAGCCAGCAGCAAGTGAGGACAGAACGTAATTTGGTTTATTTCAGGTTCAAGTTTTAACCTTTAAAGGGATAAAGTTTAAAAGAATATGTAAACCTGTCCTTAATTCCGGTCATTTGTTCACAAGAGGGGTAGGATGTCAAACTGGTGTTATGAAAAATGGATGGATTGTGGAGTATGAAACTTAAAATTATTTATGGCAGTCAGTGCCGTACCCTCACACCTGACCCAGCTGGCCTGGGTAGCAGGAGACAGGTCCCTGCATGAGCCTGCCTGTACCCCACACAGCTTTTCCTAGCAGATTCAGTTTTCCTGGCTGCAGACTGCTGGAACTTTGCTGAAGTTTGCAGAGATCAGGGATCTATCCCTAAAGTTTTAAGTCTTCCTTCAGTTTACAGCAAGAAAAGATGTGTTTGAAGGGCAGGACACACTTACGTTGTTGTAACCCAAATAAGCATTTCTTCTGGTGCTTCCCACCTTATCCAGGTACCATGTATCCCCCTCATTCCCCAAAATATTAAGCTGTTCTCTTCCTGATAAACTTTGAATGTTTTTAAATTTGTCTCATGTAAACACACTTAATTTGCTCCCTGAGATAGAGTTTAGGTAAGTCCAGAGTTACGTTAGTCCAGCATCTTTTTGCTATGGTGGAATATTTATTTTAATCTTAAACTCTTCCTAGATGGGCAGCAAAGTGCAATAGCCTATTTATCAGCATCTAGGCTATAAAGTAGATTGTGGTTTAAGAATCACCTTTTCCCTTGATAACAGAATAAAATCCAAGCAGTTACTGTCAGGGCAGCAGACAGGAGCAAATGAACTGTGCAGAACTCAAAGGGGAGAAGATGCAAGTAGCAGAGAAGGAATGATCCCATCCCCTTGAGGGCCATCAAAATCATCCAGTGCCTCGAACAGCTTTCTTTAGGCCTGTTTGGATCCTGCCGTGGTTTATGAAGAGCTGATTTGATGTTTTCAGTTAAAAACCTGGCAGACAGGGGAAGAGTTCTTCCTCATGAAGCAGGCTGGTCTTGCGGTTTTTTTCAACTTATTACAATAACTATTTCAATATATTATTCTGGGCAATTTTGTCTTATATTTCTATTGACTGTGCAAAGATTATCATGGTAAATTATGGATTGCTCTCATATAGATTTATTGCTGCTGTGTACATTATATAAAGTGTGGGCTATAATCTGGTGGCTGCTTCCAATAATCGGGGAGGTCAGATCTGTGACCGAAGATTGCAGATACTTAACCATCCATAAAAGTGTGTTTAATTAACGCTTTAGAACAAGTAGAGTCAGGGAGGAAGGTTGTGTGAGTGAATAGGATTAGGTATCACAATCATGCGTGCACTTGATAGTGGAGATTGTATTTTGGTTAATGAGGCTTCCTGGAAACAGTTGTTTGCAAGTAGGATTAATTTTAGAATCTTAAAAAAAAAATCAATTAAAAAATTAAACCAGGAGTACTTTGGCAAACTGTCAGGGCTTTACACTGAAAACAGTAATTTACCTGATTGAAAACAGAGTATAACTCCCTGAAATATACAGAGCAGCCAGCATCAAGGCTGGGCTGAGCCCCTGCCCTGCAACGCTCTGTAAACCACATTTTTTTCGGTGGGCTCCCCACGAACCCTGTGAGGGAGCTGCGAGTGGCTCTGGACTGGCTCCAGCACCTGCCTGGCTGGGTGTGTTGCTACCAGCAATACTGGGGTGCTGCTCTCCTATTTTCTTTCTGGTTTTGTCAGCAGCACCACTTTTGCTTTGTTTCCCTCAAGGTGTTTGTAGCCACTAACTGTTATGCTGCTCACCCGAGCATCCTGCTCAGGTCCCCACATCTCCCAGCCAAAATTGCCTCTTTTTACCCAAACACAGCCAGCCATGTTATTTACATGCTCTGAAGATGGCTGGGTAGCTGCCATCAGCCTGGCTGATGCTCCCTGGAGGGCCAGCAGCAGAGGGGGTGGCAGGAGCTGCCCGCAGCAGGGTGGCCCTCTTTGGCTGAAGGTGGCAAATGCCAGTGTGGGATGATTCAGCTGGAGTGCTGCTGGTTTGGGCAGGCAGAGTTTTCCTGGACTGGCAGTAGAGCTGTCGCTGGGGGCGTGGGCAGGGTGAAGGCGCTGCTGGAGCTGAGGACAGCGCGGAGGGCTGAGCCCAGGTGTCCCTTGTTCTGGGAGCTGTGAATGCCATCAGCTGCCAGGCTGGGGAGGGCACACTCAGTCAAGGGTGTTTAAGAGCATCTTGGCGTAGCCTGTGTGTGCATCTGGAATCATGACACTCCGCAGGGCCCCAGGAGCGCCATCTCTCACCTGGCTCTCAGGTGTTGTGTGTGGTCGTTCAAGGCTCCACTTTATCCTATCTTATGCAAGGTCCAGCTTTTCCCAGAGTGAAATATATAGGACTTACGGGTTAAAAATCTGCAAGAAACTTCCAAAGAATATGAACAAGTTGAGGAACTGTTTTTCTAAATTAAATATAAAATCATAAAACTATATCCTTTTTTAAATAGTACAAATGACTTTAAATCAAATTAAGGTACATCCTTAGTAAGAACAGCAGCCTTTTAGGTGGTTACAAACATTAGAGGTCAGACATGGTCAAACATGTTAACACTTTGATCAGATTAAAATATTTTTCTTGCTACAGTTGTATAATTGAGTTTAGACCTGAGGGGGTTTTCTGAACATTGTTATATCTTGTACTATGTGGTAGTTAAATGGTAAAAGGAGCTCTTGTAAGTTCCTTTAAGTTCTTTTTGTAAATAGGTTTATAAAATAGGGGAATGAGCCATGCTGCCCTGTATATAGGGCAAAAGGTCTCCCTGCTCCCATTGATGTGAGAGATTTGAGGGGAGCTCATCGCACTTTCTGTGTACTTCAGATGTGTTTGGTGAGTGTGTGAGGAGTATAAAGGCAGGATTAAAATGTTCTGCATGTAAAGCTGAGGCACTGGACTTTCTGTCTGTGTGAGAAACAGAAGTTCAAGAGCCTCTTTTTCTTTGGAAAACAGACACTACCTCATTTTCTTAATTACTAAGCTGTCAAACCAGAGCTTACATGGGAGCAGAAGAGTGGGGGTACTCCCCAAGCCCTGCACTGCTGAGGTCCCCAGATAAGACAGCAGGACTCACAATAATGTGGCTTTTCAGAGCCTGGTCCCTGTGGTCTGCTGAGCTCCTTGAGCTTGTTCAGAGGGTATGAAATGTCCCCTTGGGCACGGAAAGATGAAAGTGCAGTTACTGCTGGCCTGGGGCCACAGGGCCCAAATGCCTAACACGAGGTCAAAAAAGCATGGAGCTACAGTCTAGGGCTGCTGTTCACTGGACAGAAGCTGAAGCAGCAGCAGCAGCTGAGGCCCAGGATGTGGCTGCCTCTGCTGCATCCCCTTCCCCAAGGCTGCTCCGTCCCTCTGCAGAGGAGACTCTGGCCCCCACAGCAGCTGGCGGAAGGAAATCTGCAGCTCAGCTGTTTCTCTGCCTCTCTGTCCTGACTTGCACTGTCAGGGCAATAGTTTAGTATTGCTTTTTCCTGTGTTGGGTTCTGATCTTGGGTTGAAACCAGTGGGAGAACTCCCCGGAGTCACCGTGCAACGGGGATTTGTTGCTGCGAGAGGGCTGCTGCGTCCCTCTCCAGATGTTGTGTGTGGAGGGAGGGAGGAAGGCAGCTGGAAGCCAACAGTAGCTCTGTGTGTTCCCAGCAGTGCCTGCTGCTGCAGGAGAGCACCGTCCCAGCCAGGTTCCCTGGCAGCAGGGCTCGCACTGCAGGACCTCTCCAGGAGGGTTCCCTGTCCCCATGAATTGTTACATTCCCAGCACACAGCGTTGGGAGAGTTGTGCTGCTGATGGACCTTCTGGCAGACAGACAGATGAGTAATTTGTTCCCTCCTGACCAAAGCAAATCCACTTCTTTCAGCTGTTCTACCTAGCTTGAAATAAGGTAATATTGAAAATAATGTTTTATGTTAAAGCACAGTTTTGGATATGTGGCTTTACCAAGGCACAGGGCTTACGAGGTCATTTATTGCATGTCTGATTCAGTCTTGGTTTCCCCCAAGGAAAATTCTTGTGTTAATTTCTGAGTTCATATCACACCCTCAATTTTGAAGCAGAACTTCCCTTTGAAATAAATTAGAGAGTTCTGCTTAAGAAGCAGCGACATGATACAACACTGGATGTGTGTGGTCTAATATAACCTTATTTTTAAAATTGTTTGGAATGAAAAAAAGAGAAAGCAGAATGTCACAGGGAAACAA